CTGCTTGGCCTCCATCTGAGCCAACCTCCTTTCCAGCTGGGCGATGACCTCGTCCCGGGGGTCTCTGTCGGCCGCGGCGGCACCCGGCTGGCTCCTCAGGCGCTCGTTGTGAGCCGCGTTGATCTGGTGACGCACGTCATCCTCGTGCAACTTTCCCTTGCCCTTGTCCGGGCGGGGCTGGTCCGCTGTCCGGGACACAGACCCCAAACTCTCCCTTGGCGAGCCAGGACGAGGATCACCAATCCGTCCCGCCATCCTCTCCGAAACCGGACGACGGCGCGTGTCACCCAGCCTATTGAAGGCAGAGGCTTTTCCACGCGCTGGGGTCTGCCCGGGCCGAAGAGGGGAAGCAGGGTGGGAGTGGGACGACGCTGTGTCCTGGGCCACAACCCCCTCATTGTTGCCTATCTGGTCGGCCAGTGGTTGGGGATGAGGAGGTGGAGTGACGTTTCCCCCGGTCCTTGGCAGGAGTGCGCTGAGGACGGTGGGATTCTGAGCCAAGCTGGCGATGATAGCCGACAGTGCGGCCTGGACCTGAGGATCTACGGACGGAGAGGCCGCGGCCATAGGCTGGGCCGGGGCGTGGTCCGCTTTCTCAGCTCGTCTCTTTTCCAGGCCGAGGCGGGCGTCGGGGACTCCGCCGTTGAGTTGGTTGCGGAGGTCCGTCGTGAGGTTGAAGGCCTCCTGGAAGAGGTCCCCTCCGCCGACCTGGTCGGCCGTGGCGTCCTCATCGTGCTCCCTGGGCTCTTGGTCCTCAGGGATGACTTTGCTGACGAGGTTGCGGTTTGACTTAGTTCTCCCCATGATCCGTGGTTAGCTGTGCTTGGTAGCGACGAAGGGTGCTAACTTGATTGTTCTAGCTCTCAACGAGAGCACCAAATGATAGAGTATATCTCCTGAATTCTAGAGAGAAGTGAGAGCTAGAGAGAGAAGTGCAATAATATGCTTCAATAGAATGATTTTGTAACCCCTATAACTACTCCCAAAGGGAGTATTTATAGAGAAAATTAGGGTTGGGCTCCCAAGCCTTGGGCTTGGGAGGCCCATTTACAACTGGACCGCTACTGGGCCGAATACAAAGCCACTAATGGGCTGTACAAATGAGTAAGTATAAAATCCGATTCTGTGAGGTCTTCGTGGCCGACGAGGGCGTGGCCGATGAGGGCGCGGCCGACGAGGGCGCGGCCGACGAGGGCACCCGGGTTCCTTGGACTCAGGACCATAATCCGAGTTGGCACCTTCTCGGCCGACGGGGGCGTCCAGGCCGACGAGGGCTCCACTCGGTGCCTTGTGCTTTCTGTTCTTCCGAGTATGTGGGTCCGGGGGCTCAGACCCATATACTCCATCATACCCCGTTTGAAATTTGAATAATTACATAAAGGAACTCATGTTCATCCTACCAATGATTGATAAGAACTCTTTTTATTTGATCCAAAACTTATACTTAGTATATATGTAATATGTATTTGTAGTGTGTTTCAAATAAAATGCCTTAAATAGTTATATTAACTTAAAGTAGTTTTAGAATTATTTTTGATATTAAATGACAATGTCCGTATATGTCATTATTAGAAGAAGGAATCATTTTCATTTTCATTTACCCCAGTGCCGCAAAGGCTCCCACCTACGGTGGGGTAAGGGGGAGGGGGGTCGGATGTACGCAGCCTTACCCCTGTACTAAAGCATAGAGAGACTGTTTCCGGATGACCCATAGTGAAAATCCCGTCCAAAATTGCATGGACTGACTGCTGCTTCATAACAAAGAAGCGCAGACAGTTTAGTGAGTCATTTTGCTTTATTCCATCATAATCTCAAGCCAAAAAATAATGAATCTTTGGCTCCATTTCAAATGATGGAAATAATGAGACTCATTATTAAATCATCATGAGAACTATGAGACAACTACTTACTTTAACCTGAATCATAAAAAAGTCTTTTTTTGCGGGGAGGGTTCTAGTGAGAACATCTCCTAAAATGAGACGTGGCAACATTTGTGAGGTAAACATCCCAAACTCATATATGTAATTTAAACACCCTAAACTTTGTATAGAAAGTTATTTTCGCACCATTGTCATGTATTTTTTCTTTCAAAAATTTAAATTTATGGGGTTAATTGCATAATTTAAAATAGCAAATTAAAAGTGTTGCAATTATATAGATTGAGAGTAACATTATTTATTTCTCATTGGAAGTTTAAAATGTTAATTGTGTCTTCCTGAATTCCAAAATATTTTAAATTATGCAATTAACATGATAAATTTATATTTTCAAAAGAAATAATACTTGACTATGGTTTTAAAAAACTTTTATATAAAGTTTGAGTTATATAAAGTTTGGAGTGTTTATCTCACAACCCTTTAAAATCAATTCCACTTATGACATATCATCGCCCTTGTGTCTCCTTCACAATTCTCTTCAGCTTCCGGAATGTTAGCTATCCCCATTATTTTTCACTGACCTATCAAGCTTCTCGATCTGCCCTCTCTAATCTTAGCTTCATCTTCTATCGACCATAGAGAGCAAGGAGGAACGCCGACCGAAGCTCCCTTTTCTACCGACCCGCTGGACACCTTCCGGCTCGTTGCCGGAAAAGGTAATCCACACAAAGAAGTATGTTGAGTTTACTAGCAATTAGTACATGCTGCTTACTTTAGTGCTATTACACACTACATAGGCTCATAACTCGTTCTAGACAATGCTCTGCATATCAGTTTATACCTTCCGTCATTGGAAGAAAAATAAGTGTGATTTCTAACTCCCAAAATCACTTGATTTGTGCTTTGTCTCTTTGAGTCTTTTGGGTTTTTTGTATATTTTGGAAAAAATTCCATCTTAATTAATCACGTTTCTAGGTTTGATTTTTTTTAATTTGACAAAATACTTATTTCATTTCTGTTTACGGAGACAAAATCCCTTTTTATGCCTAATTATCTTACCTATATAATTATATATCCATTGGGGTACATTTGTCTCTCAAAGAAGACAGTGTTCTGGTTCTCCTTCCCTATATAAGCACACATGATCTTTCTTTGCATTTTGATTAAATAATAAAGACTAAGACTTTCTCAAAAAAAAAAAAAACAGATACGTAGAGTTAGCGCAAATTATACCGTGGGATCGGCCCATGATGCGCATGGTGTGCCGATCCCCATACGACATCGTTTTGCACTTAAAAATCAGAGCAGTACGTTGTTCTTATTTTCCAGCGACGACGACCCCCTTCCTTTCTCACTTCCCAATCACCGACTTTGGTTTGCGAGACACATAGAAACAGCCAAATAGCTTATCACAGAGCACTGAATTTAGAGCAGTGATTCCTTCTTTGTACGATGTATTCGGAGATGGCTAGAGATCTGGAAACTTCCATAGAAAAATCAAATTTTATACGGAGATGTTAAACGTTTGCTATCTGCTGGTCCAATTTTGATGCTTTGGTATATCATTTACAGAGTAAACGTGATATTGGAGCAAATCAATCTAATTGATGGGCTTTGGGTATTCATATTAAAACAAATTCCATCTTCTTCTGGGCAAGTTACATGTTAATGTACGCGAGTTACATCTTAATATGCGCGAGTTACATCTTAGTGTATGTGAGTTACACAACGGAATAAACCCCTGCTATATCATTTTTATAGCCCTAATATTAAACATAAAACATATTCACTATTTAAAAAAAGTAATTAAGCTATTAGGATCAATTTTTCATTGTTTTCATTGAAATCAATGTTTATGACATATATATTATTCTTAAACACACACAAAAAAATGTTCAATTTTTCAAGAAGTTACATTCTGTATACATCTAAGTTATATTTGCCATCAACGCGAGTTACATTTGTAATAACATGAGTTACATTAAAAAATCAACCCCTGCTATTGAAATAAAAAATAATATTTTTTAAAAAAAATATTTTTTATGGTCATGATATTAAAAACAAAACATATTCACAATTTACGTAAAGCAATTGTGAAATTACTCTTTTTTTTCATTGTTTACATTGAAATCAATATTGTATTTTTAATACTATGTATTTGACAAGTTACATTTCGAATGCACTTGAGTTACATTAATCAATAACGTAAGTTACATATCTTTACTCGCGAGTTACACCATTCATGGTACTGGGACAAAAAGAAAGAAAAAACAGTTACTGTACACGCGTGTACTGTTCACGCGAATTTTTTTAAAAATTTTTAGGTATAGTTGCGTCGTTTTGGAAGTGGATCACCATGCTCACCGTGGGATGGTCCCACGGTATACGAACTGTAGAGTTAGGGTCAAAATTAAATGATGATTACTCCCTCCGTTCCCAAAAATACTTCCACTTTCCTTTTTGGGCTGTTCCCAAAAATACTTCCCACTTTCCCATTTTGTGTGGCTCACATTCATTTTACCTTTTTCTTACACAACTACAACCATACATTTCCACTTTATTCCACTTTCTTAATAAGCGTGCCAAGTCAAACCGGGAAGAATTTTTAGGAAGGGAGGGAGTATAATTCAAGCATTCTTGCAAAGTTATGTGAAGATGGAAGAAAAGCTAGGGAAGGTAAAAAAACGCAAACCTTCGCATACGAATTTCTCCTAACCCTGGAGGATAAAAAAGATGGCGAAGAACTGTTTCTTTTTGCGTTAAAGGCAAACCTTAGATCCAGTGGCGGACCTTGTATATCACTTGAACACCCACAATTAAAAAATATATACACGTGCAAGTATATAGTGTAAATTTAATATAAACATATTTATTCTTCTTCAAATTTTTAATTTTAAAAACATTGAATTTTTAAAAATTAAGCTCTAAATCCGCCACGGCTTAGATCGTGCACCTGTGGAATAAGTCTTACGTAGAGCATGTACTTCGTAGTATTTTTTCAGAGTCAGCAAAGTAAATTATTACTTTTAATTATTTGTGCCACATCATACATTCATACTCACGTTAACGATAAATACTCACGTAAGTATTTAACGTAACGGGGTTAGTTTTTTGAGTCCATAGAAAATCTTTTAGGTCCCTTACCGATGAAGAAAATCTCTTGAATCGATAATAAATTCAACTTTTAGATCTTTAATTTATAAAATTCCTTTATTACATTTGTCTGTCTACATTACGCAGACCACGTGTACACCGAGCACAGCCTATAAAAAATACTCCGTAACTTGTTATACAAAACCAAGACCGCTTTCTTTGGTGTAGAGGAGAACTTCGAGAAATATTCTAGTGACTATGCAGCTTTTAACTTAGGTTCTATTAATCTTCCTTAGGGTTCATCTTCCTGATCGTATAAGTTAGTGTCTCGCGGCCTACTTGTTTGATATTGTTTAAGTTGATTTTGCAGTTTGATTTTGTATAAGTTGATTATGCAGATGTTTAAAATAACTTTTTTATTAGGGAGAAATGATATAAAATATTTCTTGCAGCTTACTTATTCAGAATTAGACTTTCAAAAGTTTTCCCTTTTGCTTACCCTAGCCTCGTTTATGATCATTTGAATGAATCTGATTTAGCAAAGTAGCTGTTTACACTAATTTTTATCCGCATTGTTACCTTATTCATGAGATGGTAATTAGTAATGCTGGTTAATAGTCTGTGGTCGAGTATCATCATCTTTGATGGGGATGTCTTGCCATTGCACCCGAGGAACACGCCTGACCCTTCTTAGTAAGGATGAAGTTATCATTTTATCAATTAGTCATCAATCATCATCTTCACCAGTCTTTATTCAATGTATCTTTTGAGTTCTCATTATTGTGCTGGAGATGTTTGATAAAATGCCTGTGTGACAGTCATACAAATTTTGGTAATTCAATCTTTGTGTATTGTTATACTGACTAGCTAGTAAACCTAGTTACCATCGGGAATATTTATTTATTCAATCGGTTGTTGTAATTTTATTGTGGCAGTACATGTGGTTTTGGGGCAATAAGGATGTTTTTACTTGGACTGTAATTTGCTGTAATTTGCTGGTCTGGTCTGGTTTCTTTGTATTTTTATAACTATCAAAGTCTGGTCTGGTCTGGGAGGAATTACAGTCCAAGTAAAAACATCCTAACTAGCATTATATTTGTCTGAGTTAATATGATATTTATGATCACTTTAAAGTTTAAACTATATATCTAATACTACGGTTTAATTTGCAGTCTGCCATTGTTAAAGAGGATTAGGCCTTTTTGTGTTGTCCCATCACACATGGTTGGCACTTTAGATGAAACAGCTGTTTCTTAGCCAAGCCCAAAATCATGCCTTCTTTATCTGCAACGAGGGCCTTTCAACTCTTCGGGGATTCATTTTCACTGAGAAATCTTTCCATCCGGCTTACTAGAATATCTCCACTCAATGACAGAGTAAGGTTTTTAAGTGACTATGGTCCTCTTACCCTAGCCAGCCTTGGATTGAAGAATGGAGTTGATGGACAGAATGCCAAAAATAAGCTCCTGCTGGGCGTTTCCACAATTGAAGTTCCTAAAGGTATGATTGGATCATGGAAAATGCTAGGGAAAGAAAAGAAGTTAAAAATGTCAATGCAAGTAATTATTTTCTACATGGTTGTACCTTAGAAAGTGGAGAAGAAAACTAATTATGTATAGTTTTTTTATTAAATTTTGTTTACACATATTATAGTCGGTTTGGTAACAGATATTTGGCTAAAATGTCTGAACCTTCTGGAAAACTGCATCTAACAAAGTGGAATTTAGCCAAATAAGCAAGGCAAAGTCTAGAAATTCTGATTATTCGGTTGATATTCTGAATAAACTGATCCGATTAATACTACCAAATGGAGACTCGGTTTTTTTAGTCTATTTATAATAGACACGCCCAAATAAGATTGGGTATAAAATGCATCTATCTATAAAAATAAAAGCGGAGTTGTAATATACTACCTCCATCCCAACGTAAGTTTCTCATTGAAAAATGGAACGATTATTTAGACAATAATTGAATAAGGTTATTGAGTTCATCATCATCATTATCCCAGTGCCGCAAAGGCTACCACCTACAGTGGGGTAGGGGGGTCGGATGTACGCAGTCTTACCCCTATACTAAAGCACTAAGAGACTATTCCGGATGACCCATGGTGAAAAGCACGTCAAATTGCATGAACCTAACTGCTGCTTCATAACAAAGAAGCGCACACAGTTTATTGAGTCAATTTGCTTTATCCCATCATATTCCTAAGCCAAAAAATAGCAAATCTTTGGCTCCATTACAAATGATGGAAAATAAGGTTACTGAGTTATTCAAGTATATTTTAATAAGTAGTTTCGATGGATATATAGGTGTATGATTTTTTATATTTGATGATTAAGTTATCATCTAAGAGTGCTAATTGTTTCCTAAAATAGAAATGTGAACCTTTAGCTGGGTCGTTTAAAAGAGGCAAGTGAGAAGCTTAAGCTGGGTTGGTGGGAGTATCTTTATTATCTATCACATTTTATTTTTCCATCTAATATCCTTCCTACCTCCCCCCCCCCCCCCCCCAGTTTCTTCCTGGGCTCAAACAGACTGTAACAGTAACACCAAAAGAAAGGTAAACAGTGGAAGACGCATTGGAGTGAAAGAGACAAAGTCCACAGGCATAGGGGAGGCATCAGCACCACCGTACGCTGCAAAGTCTTTCTCTGAGCTTGGCCTTCCCCAATTACTGATTGAAAGACTTGAGAAGGAAGGATATAAGGATCCAACAGATGTTCAAGCTTCTGCAATTCCAACTATTCTGGAAAATCATGATGTCGTGATTCAGTCATATACTGGCTCAGGAAAAACATTGGCATACCTTCTTCCAATACTCTCCCACGTTGTTTTCCCTATAAATGGTGTATCTTCTTCAAGCAGAACGGATATCAAAGCTGTTATTGTAGCTCCCTCCAGGGAACTCGGTATGCAGATTGTCAGGGAAGCGGAGAGGCTTTTGGGACCCAACAAGAAAATGGTTCAACAGCTTGTTGGTGGAGCGAACCGGTCCAGACAGGAAGAAGCACTCAAGAAAAACAAACCGTCCATAGTAATCGGAACTCCTGGTCGGATTGCAGAAATTAGTGCATCCGGGAAGCTTCACACTCACGGTTGCCGTTACTTGGTCTTAGATGAAGTTGATGAGCTTCTCTCATTCAATTTCCGGGAGGACATGCAGCGGATACTAGATCACGTGGGGACAAAACGATCTGGTGCGGTTTCAACTATTTGATTACTCCTATAAATAGTTTATTACCTCTATCTCAAATGGTTTCTCCCTTTCTGGGTTGTGAGGGCTTTACTGAAGTTAAAGGTAAATTTTCCCTGATAGTATTTAAATATGATTAATAGTTAAAGTCTACATATTTAGAAATTAAACTACGGGGTATAAATTCTTTGAACTGAAGAAGCTCACTTAGAATGTGATGGAAATTTGATACACAAATTTAAAGAATAAAAAGAGTTTAAAGTCTACATAAAAGGGACAAATAAATAGGGGACGGTAGGACCGTAGGAGTACATCATACTATAACAACTTTATCATCTCAAATTTCCTCTCAGATCTAAAGGTGTGACTGGTTAGGCTCATAGTTAAACTGGCAATCACGGATTTGAAAACATTTTTAAGTAATACTCCACATGTCCTGAAAGAAAGTGTCACATATGACAAGGGTACAACTCTCGTAAACCATGAACCATATTTATATATTGTTAATATATTGGGAAAAGTACGGAAAAGATACTTGTGGTTGAGCCCGTTTTCAGATAGGGTCATGCGTTTCATTCTTTATCAAAGTGGTTCATGTGTTTGAATTCCGTTATCACAAGAGGGTCACGTCATTAAAAACATCTGAAAAAGACCATTAAAAGTAATTCCGATTTTCAAAAGTGACCAAAAACTTAAAAGAAAAATACCGGAAGGTGCGCCTCAATAAGACGACCGCTAGGCCATCTTTCTTTTTTGTTTTCAGCCACCCTTGTCACCGGAAAGTCCATCAGAAAAGTGATATTAGCGAAATCATTTTTAAAAAATAATTCAGACAGATCTGAAAAATCCAAAGGCGAAGGTGGTTTGGAGATCATCTTGACGAGGCGCACCTTTTGGTATTTTTCTTTTAATTTTTCAGGCACTTTTGAAAATCATAGTTACTTTTAACAGTCTTTTTCAGACGTTTTTAACGGCGTGACCCTCTTGTGATAACGGAATTCAAACACATGAACTACTTTGATAAAGAATAAAACAAATGACCCTATTTGAAAACACGCCCAACCACAAGTACCTTTTCCGTACTTTTCCCTAATATATTTGTTGAGTTAAATAAATGTGTCATAGCAACTCTCTCTATGACTCTTTTTTATCTTTTGACAAATGATGTGAAATTAGCTTCTATTTAAACAGGTCTTTTGTGGGATAAACAGGTACTAAGGGAGTGATTTAATTCTTAGGTCAGTCGGTAAGGTTGCTATGTAGAATTTTCTGAAAGGAAAAATTCAATAAAATGAGTAACACAAAGTCTGCTTGATAATGCTAATTTTTATTATTCTGCTTATTCTACTGATAAGCATAATAAGTCAATTATTGCTACCACATGGGGACTTGAGTATCTCATAATAGGTGTGGCACCTAGCAGTATAGCATGACTACCTCATAAATAATGAATCAATGTTGCAAACGAACCTCTTAGTTACTATTACCATGTAAATACAATCCTTCCACCAATCCCACATTCCCACATTCCACTTGAGTTGAGTTCATGTGGTCGAACAAGTTAAACCTACTCACCCAGCTTCCCCTTGAATTCAATTACAATCATACATTTAACACAAGTTAAATTCATGTAGTGCAGGACCCCATGGTTCAGGCAATATACTTGTGAAGAACCATGCTGCTCGCCAAACCATCATGGTCTCTGCAACAGTCCCGTTTTCTGTTACAAGAGCCGCACGAAGCTGGGGTTGGGAACCACTCCTTGTTCATGACAACAGGGTTGTCCCCCTTGATTCCATACCTCCTCCTGGACTAAATCCTTCCAACTCACAGGCCCAGCCTGCCATCCAGAGCTTACCGCCTAATCTAAACCATTACTATTGTGTCACGAGGATACAACACAAAGTTGACATGCTAAGAAGATGCATACACGCTCTGGAAGCCAAATCTGTAATTGCATTTATGAACCATACTAAACAACTGAAAGACGCCGTTTATAAACTAGAAGCCCGAGGCATAAATGCTTCAGAATTACATGGTGATCTTAGCAAGTTAGCAAGATCAACAATTTTGAAGAAATTTAGGAATGGAGATGTTAGGGTTTTGGTTACGAGCGAACTTTCTGCTAGAGGATTGGATGTGCCCGAATGTGATCTTGTTGTGAATCTGGAGTTGCCAACCGATTCTGTCCATTATGCGCATAGAGCTGGTCGGACGGGGAGGCTTGGAAGGAAGGGTAATGTGGTCACTATATGTGAGGAGCCTGAAGTATTTGTTATAAGAAAGCTGGGGAAGCAGCTTAATATCCCTATTCAAATTTGTGAGTTTGCTGAAGGAAAACTTGTTATTACTGAAGAGTAATTAACTAAGGTAGGTAATTTTTACTGTAGTTATTTCTGTTGAGTTTGCAAGAGATTGTATGCAAGCAATCAAGTGGCCCTTTCTTTTTGTGGAATATTAACTTTAGCTGTTGATTACTTTGCTGGCTAGTCTATGGATACATGCTTTTATTGTCTTTCCTTTGTATTTATGTGTGTATTCTAATATATCAATGTTTTGTATATTTGTGCCTTGTATGTCGATATTACCTCCTAAAGACAACAACTCAACAAGTGTTTGCTCAAGAATAAAGACAAGTGTTTGCTCCGAATTTGTGAGTCAATCACTCCTTTCGTAACACACAGCCACTCAAGAATAAAGACAACAAGTGTTTGCTCCGAATTTGTGTTAGGGGCGGAGACAGGACACTGGACTGAATTGGGTCAGACTAGGTCGGAACAAAGAATATTTTTGAAAAAAAATTACACAAAATTTTTTACACTAAAAAATATAGATATTTTTAAATTTTGGGTTGAGACGGGGCTGGCCCACCTCTAGCTACGCCTAGAGGTGGACTCGGGCCGGGACGCCGGGTGGCCCGACCCAGAACCGGCTCAGGACCGGTACTGTTGCGGCCCGGCCCGGCCCGGTTGCCTGGCCTGGTGGTTTTACGGTACGGGCTCGGGCCCGCCAAATGATGAACCGGCCCGGCCCGGTTCCGGGCTTTTTTTGTGTTTTTTCAATTTTTTTTATTGTTCAGGGTTGGGCTGGGTGTTTTGGGTCATTTGGGGTAGTTTAGGGGGGGTGGGGTGAGGGGGGGGGGGGGTATTGGGGGATTAATTAGAAAATTAAAAAAAAAGAAGTGGCCTGAGGCCCGGCCCGGACCCGGACCCGGTGGCTACCCGGGCCGGTCCCGGGCCCAACTATTCTGAACTGGCGGCCCGCCCGGGCCTAGGCCCGACCCGGATCCGGATCCGGCCCGGCCCGAGTCCACCAATAGCTACGCCCCTGTTTGTATATGCATTTTATGCTAATTTTCAAAATCACCCGTGCATGCATCTGGTTACGTAAAAAATTGCGAAAGAGTGAGATACAAATCCAAATGATTTTATGCTAAACAAATATTAATAAAAAAAATGTATTAACAAATATTAATAAAAATGATTTTGAAAATGTTATGCAAAATCCTATATTAATAAAAAAAATGTGGCGCATACTGCATAGTCAAATTATAATTCCTTATAGTTTATACGTTTTTCACAATGAAATTATAATCAAAACATACTCGTATAACTCTATCATATTTTAATGTGTTATTTTAATTTCTTAATGGTTGATGAAGTGATATTACTGAATGGTACGGGCGCCAGTTAATATATTAAATTATTAATTGCTCTTGAGTCTTGAGCAGTCACGATTTGACAATTTGACTAATTCTAAAACCATTTTTTCAAAAACTATTTAATGATGTCGAACAGGTCAAAATTCAAAACCCCTCAAGTGTGTACTTAGCTTTATAGAGAGACCAGCCATCTTGAATTTAATTTAAATACGTTTTTCATATATTCTTAATATTTGTTGGGAGAAATTCTGGAATTTCCCGCTTCGTGAAGTTAAGATAGACACTTGTGAATTAAAGTAGCAATGGGGCACACGAGCATAAATCTCTAATTTGGATATTCTTTCAATATAGAAAAAAATACTTTGTAGCATGAATTAGAATGATGTGTTTACAAATTTGTCTCATTCTATGGTAGCTCATTCAAGCTTGAACGTAGGAACTTCCCAAACTAATTCTCTTTTCTAAATATCTCAAAGAGTTTGTCTAACTCTTTGGCTTCTTCACTCTAGCAAGTGGCTTCCCTCTGGATTAGGATGGTAATTAGGAATGAAGCCCCTACCACTATTTATACTACTCCGACTTCACAAATCACAATGAATGATTGAGTGGAGGTTGATTCTCTATAATGCTCCGGAGCATTCTGGAAATCTCTACATTCTTACACATCTTTTGTTCCAGAGCCCCCAAGCAAGTGTTAACGTTGTTGGGGTGTTTGGTTACTGGCCTATCAATCAATTTTTGACTGTTTTGATCATTAATTGGTTTTTTGACCATTCCAAATAGTTATTTAGGTGTTTGATTATATTATAATAAGCTTTTTCTATTGGCCTTTTACGTCAACCAAAAATAAAAACTCCACTAAACCCAACTTTTTGCATTTGACCGTTTCACCTTGTTATCTAAAAATACAGATTTAACCTCATCTTTAAATCACAACTCTCCCATAGTCCCATGCATATTAATCATACTCGGTAGCTCCTACCCTCAATTAACGTGCAACGCAACTTCAAAATTTTAGAGCCCGTTTGGTAACCCCTTTTTTCGGCTTATCAGGCTTATTAGCCAACCTTTTCATCAAACACGTAACTTTTGGTTTCGCGCGCTGAAGTTTGTAATAAGCAGAAAAAGTAAGGTTCGAGTTACTTTTCTGGCTGTATTGGCTGAAGTTACTGTAGAGAATCATTTTAGCTATTTTTCATATAATTTTTTATTGAATTTATTAACAACAAATATTTTAAATATAATTTTTTCATGAATCAGTAGAATCAGCCAATACAGCCACTTCAACCAGAACTTCATAAATTTCAGCAGAATAAGCCAATTCAGCCAATTTTAGTGTTACCAAACGGGCTCTTAATGAAGTAGCTCCCATAGTCCCACTTTTGTTATAGATTCTTTTATAAGCGACTTCATTAACAAAATTTAGAAATAGATCAATAAAATACATTGCAATCAATATTATTCATCTTTATTATTAATTACTTTTTGTTACTTTAATGAATACAACTAATTTAGGATAATATATTAAAATCATATCCAAGACCAATAGAATTGAAAACTATAATAGTTAAATAAACTAAAAACATTTCATCTCCTTGTTTGTGGTGACATGAATATTTAAATATATTTCTTCATTTTTGTTACACAACTTTTTGTGGTAAATTTTTACTTATATATAACTCCATTTATTAAACAAAATATCATCATACTAATAAAATTAGTTAACTCGTGAAAAATAATTTCTAAAAAAATTATTACTCGTGTTAATACATTTTTTGTTTTTTAGATACTTAAAACGGTTTAAGTAGTTGTACTAATTATAGTAATAAAAAATTAATTGATGTCCGTAATAAATGATGAACTAATGATACAGACTAATAAAATGTATTGTAAGTACGGTACTCTAATTTATCAATGAGGTACTCCATGTAGCATTCACAGTCATATTATATATAAATAATGTTCGATTTATCCTTGTGTATTTAGTTTTATACTAACGTTGTCTAATCTGTCTTGTAGACATGTAGTACTTAATCAAGTATAAACGAGGTATATCAATGAACAAATTAATAAACAAATGACACAAATATTAAAATAAAAGTGTCATAAATGCAAAGAACAGGCCGGGATTAATATATTTCAATTCTATCCATACATATAATTAAGCGCACAAATTTTTGACTGAAGAACGGTCCATATATCCTTGAATCATGCACACACTATATATAAATCTTGTCAAATTCTTGTTCCCTTCATTATCACAAACCAATATGTATTATTATTAGGGAGATTCTATGATACGCATAAGATACATACCTTTGTCCACATGGAGCAATGAAAATGAAGCAGTTAAATTATTTAAATCTAAATTAAAAATGATAAAGTGATGTGATCCAATCAAATGAATGATAGGTATGGTACCCCATTTTTTAGAAAGGTACCGGAGTTGTCACCTTATTATTATTCTTTAATTTCACTTCTGCCCTTGGTACTTCTCTTCCTCCTCCTCAATCTCTTCACATCAAGCCACGCCGCTAATTTTGAAGTAAAAAACAATTGCCCCTACCCAGTGTGGGCAGCAGCAACCCCGGTCGGCGGCGTCAACGCCTCGACCGGGGCCAAACGTGGACAGTCAACGTGCCGGCCAGCACGGCCATGACACGTATATATATGGGGTCGCACAAATTGCAACTTTGACGGAACTGGGCGGGGCGGGTGCGAGACCGGCGACTGTGACAGGTTGTTGCGGTGCACCGGGTGGGGCAAACCGCCAAACATGCTCGCTGAATTCGCTCTGAACCAGTTCAACAACCTTGACTTTTTCGACATCTCCAACGTTGACGGTTTCAACGTGCCCATGCAGTTCGGCCCCACCCGCCCGGGGGCCGGCCGGCAAATGCCACGCGATCTCGTGCACGGCTGGTAACCTTGTCGGAGACTGTCCGGGTCAGCTCAGGGTCGCGGGCGGGTGCAATAATCCTTGCACCACATTTGGAACTCAGGAATATTGCTGTACAAATAATTTTGCGTGCGGTCCTACTGATTACTCAAGATTTTTCAAGGATAGATGTCGTGATGCTTACAGCTACCCTAAGGATGATGCCACTAGCACTTTCACTTGCGGGCCATGCTTGGTGTACACAAGATGTACACAAAATGTGTACATTGCCTGTGTATACAGGCAATTGGGTATAAAATTCTGCCCTTTTTTAAATGAATTGCCTGTGTACCCAGGCAAGTATGGGGATTTTGTGTATGTACAGTTTGTGTACAACTCATGTACACTAAGCATTTTCCTTCACATGCCCTTGTGGAACTAATGATTATAGGGTTGTCTTCTGCCCTTGATTGATGATGATAATGCCAGCTAATAATATATATTCATGGATTATATTTTATTTTGAGATTAAATGTGAGAATATCTGATCTATACAAAATACCTACTCCCTCAATTCCATAATTAAAGTCTCAGTTTGACATTGCAATATAATCTCTTAGGTGGACGTTTAATTGTAATTATCTATAAATATATACCTAAATAATCTATAATAAATTGACATTTGAATAATACATATTACAATGACTGACGTACATTAAATAATTTCTTTGGGATAAAATATTGTTAAATTTGAGTAATTAGTGGTCAAACTTTAACAAGTTTGACTCAAAAGTCAAACCGGGACTTTAATTAAGAGACCAAGTAGTATAAATTAAATAAGGATTTTAAAAGATATAAGCCATTTCTAAACGAAAGGGAGCCGTGAAACACCATTTAAAGTATTATTTTGTGATTCAAATTTTGAGAGCAACATCTAAATATCTAATAAACATTTAATTAAAGGCGAAGGGTTACCCCTTTCTCGCTATGTAGGGATGCCTTCGTGCAACTGAGTGTCATTTTA